TAGGCATTCACTTGTCCACTCTGGTTTGCAAGCGAAGAAGTCCAGCGAAGAGACACGACTTTCTTCAAAGCCCTTTTGACCGTGGAAAACTGCCTCTGCCCGGTTGAAATGCAGGCAAAGGGGTCGCTAAAGTGTAAAGACAGGCACCCAAAAAAGAACGTTGATGGCTGGCGCGTCTGACTGATGATTTCGTTTGAGTTGAGCAGTTCGGTGAAAACAGGGAGAACATAACATTAACCTGTCTTTCTCTTCTAATATTTACAGTGCCAAAACATAACACACAATCGCCTACACCTCAGGCTTCTTTGACCGGTTACCCGTTTGGCCCCGACGAACCCTACGCCCAAGGTTCCCTTTGAGGGAGACAGTTGTTTGTTTATACAGTACATTATTGTGAAAAGGCACGTACAATGTAATTTGTGTACATGTGAATGGAAGTGGACGTTCGTGGTGCAGTTTTTTTGTCCCTTTGGTGCACCATACTATTCTTAGGCGTATGCACCCTGAATGTCAAACGGTTACTTATTCAACGTTCGAATATGGAACAGTTTTCTTGTTCAACGTTGAATGTCGAACGTAAAACGAGGAACGAGGAACTAACTTCACATCGGTTGTTTTCAGAGCTAAATTTGACCTTATTTAGGAAATTTTATTGCTTTCTGACGGCTAATGAACTACTGCAAGGGAAAAGTAGTAATGTCCACACATGGAACTCTTACTAATGGCCGGTTTTCATGTTCTTTTCGAGTTCCGTGATGAGGCCTGGTATTTTCTGCAGTTTCAAGACATTTATTTAGGCCTAACTGCCAGTTTTTCCAATCAAAATAACTTTCGTGCCCCAAACGCAAGAATATTTATTACATTTGTTGATATGTAAACTGTTTATGATGTGCACTGTGTTTTCCAGTGCTCCCGGTGTTTTCCGGTAGTCCTAGGCCTAAATAGAATAGTGTCACCGCTGTTACAGTGTTACACCATGGAGGTACCGGTAGCAATAGAGTCACACTGTTATTACTACAGTCACATGCCCCCAAATCAAGTCATGCAAGTCGAATGCTCTGTGTGAATTAGCCTATGTACAGTAAGTAATTCGTTAGGAAGGCACTTTACCCTTCGATTCCACCATATACTGCATCCATATCTCCCATTGTCTAACGTCTTTCACCACTTCACAAGAGAGGAAAAACAAGCAAACTCTTCAAAGGCCCTACTTGTCAGAATGATCCCCGCTTCGTTGACACTAGTCCAGTTACACCGAAGCATGCAGTACCAACCGTACGTACATGTACAGTACATGCACTGTACACTTCACACTGTTTTTTTTTACGTCCGGGTTGACTGTCTGGGTTGTTCGACAAGCGCCCTCTACTGTTGAAGAAAGTTCCACACACTAAACATGGAACCTCTGGCCCAAGGCAAGGGACACCGTCGTGACCGTACTGATTGATAGGGCTAATGACTGGATTTTTGAGAAATGGCAAATTTTAATCTGGCCGAGCAAGTAAGTTAAAATGGTCAGAAATGTTGTTTCTTTGAACTTTGGTAGGACCCACAGTTCAGGGGGTAGAGTGTACGGAGGTAGGATGACAAACTCTAGTGTAGTCATGATAGTTAGGCCGGGCATGGCCCTCCTTCCTCCATGGGCCGGGTACTAGTAATTAGTATCGCGGTCTAAGCGGTAGTCAGGGACATGGTGGTACTGGTGGTAGGCCTAGTTATCACATTTTCCGATCGAAATAAAGATTTCTCTTTCACCATCCTGAATTATCGTATCCTTGCTTTTGTTTAACTCTTACTGTTTAACTTGATTGCTTTCGAGTCAACTCGTCGTGCATGTACTTTAGGCGACTCGTACCTTGGAAGTTGGATGACTTGTACCTTGGACGACTCGTTCCATTGGCAACTGGTACTGGTAGTCGTACATATGGGTGTCGGTCACTTCGCCCCATTTCCACTTCGCCCCATTGATTATCATTGATTCTGCTCTTCAGTAACAGAGGCATAGGCCGAGATGCAACTAGTAAAAACATTGACATTTAAGTACCTAAATAACGATCGGATAATCCAACTTTCAAAGACCAAAACAATGATTCCGATTTCCCGACCGCCGGACCAAATTTTTTTGCGAGACCCTAAAATTTTTATTGGCAAGTTAAAAAAAAGTTTTCTTTGTGTTTCATTGTCGCTGTGGTGAAAACATGAGCGCAAAGCGCTGGTTCCCACCACGCCGCACCTGTGTAATAGGACGCTTGATGGAGTGTGGCGACCAATTTATTCATGCCGCGGCAACCATTTATGTACGTGATCCGTCACGCATTGAAAAAATTGATGTTTGCAATATTTCTTCAGGTTAATTCTTAGTATCTTGGCTATGCGTGTGTTTTCTGTGTTCATCATTTTAATTTTAGGTTGTTTTGCTCATACTTGAAGCGAGCATGTTTCCCCAAAATTTCCTGCACGCCGAGCTTTATCTGATTGCCCAGGTACAGGTGCTCTGGATGCATCAACAATTACCAGAATGATGTGAACAGAATTGTGTGTGTCGCTTTTAAAAAAACTGAAGAGGATGAGAAATAACCCTGATGATGCTAGTCCAACCATTTTCTCTATAATGGCGTTTGGCATCTATAAGAGGAGACTGGAAAAATGAGTCAATTACAGGTAAAATAGAACATTATCACAAAATGAGGTTATTTTGTTTCCTCTGAAAACTAAATGATTCTGTTTATCTTTATTCATAAACAAAGTGCTTTAACCCCTTGACGACGGGACTTTTTTCTGAAAGCCGACTCCAAGAAGTCCAGCCTCGCTTGGCCACGAAGACCCTGCCAAACGGCAAATTCTCAGTTTGTGGCCCTGCGTGCTCTGCACGCTTTGAATTACTCAGTGAAAAGGCTCATTGTTTGGTGGCATGTGGCTCTACTCACCCTTCCACATTCCCGTTGCCTCTTTTCAAAGTGGGGACTATTAGGAAGCTGGTGATTACGGCGCAAATTCAATCTTTTCGTTTCTGGGCTACACACAAAGGCCAATCACCATATATACAAGAGCCATGGTCTGCCTTCTTTCACCATGTTCACTCGAACGTGGACCGAGAATAATAGCTGAAAAGCGGGCTGAGGATCTCAATTTTTACGGCGGCTCTTACTATCTCCCAGCGCGAAGGGGTTAAAGGCCATCGTAGAAACCATTTCTTGGTACTGCGATAATAGTGACTCCACCTCTGCTTGCATACGGTGTGTACACTAATTTTCTGAGTTATCGTAGAGGAAAATAAATTGAACCACAAACAAATTTTTACAAATCAAATTAAAAAGTAAGAGTTAAACAACAAGGACAAGATAATTTGGGAAGGTGAGCGAGCAATCTTTATTTTGATTGGGAAATGTGATAACTACCGCAATAATGGAGTAACCCATCCTAACTGTTAGTCAAATCCTAGACAATAACTTACCCTTAAGCCTAGGGTCTGTCAGGCTACCTGGGGGACCTCCCTACTGAAGCACCATGAAACAGATATAGATAACAACCTGCAAGGGTGTTCTTCCAATGTTTTTTAATGGATAGGGCCCTGTTTACGGTTCTAATTGCCCCCTATTTTCAGGCCCATTTGTCAATGGCATTTTCCCAGCTGTGCCCTCAGATGTTACAATTTCTTTGGCAAAACAAACTCTTTTTCATCCCCTACCCCGGCAGAAAATGAGTGCACATCTAAATCCATTATTATTAAAGGCAAGCACCCCATACCTTGTGCTTGATAGCCACAGTCACGTGACCATTGCAGGCCCTCATGTCATCTCCATTATAAAGTCTTTATAATAGGAATCAATGGGGCCCCAGTAGGGAGGTCCCCATTGTGGAGGCGGGGCCTGGTCAGAGAGGTAGCATATATGTGTACTAACAGACCCCTATCCAGTAGACTGGCCCCAGTCTGGGTCTCTGTACATGTATGTACGGCCTAACATTTGGCCCAGTCATGCCAGTTGATTCCCTGACCGTGCTGACCATACAACATGTACGTGTACCTGACTGCATTATGGAGGGAGTCCAGGATATAGAAGGGTCTAAAAATGGATGAAAAATTAGCCTAAGAACTAATATTTTCAACACTTTTACCCTTCTAAAGAAGCTAGTTTCACATGTTGTCTGCAAATCCTATGCATCCTTACCTATCCAGCTGGTGGGTTTGAGAAGTTCCACACATTATGACATATCATTATTATATTATATTTGTACAGTGTGCACGCACAAATATGGCATATTAGAATTCAAGCTGCGCACACGTGCATAAAGAATGGGCGATATGTGATTCTTATTTGTCTCAGGTATGTACAACATCATGAGTGAGGCTGTGGTGTGCATTCATGACGGTATAGTATGTGTATATGGAGGCCTGTGTATTTGTGTGTGTATTTGGGCTATTAATGATTAAACTTTAACTTATCAATGCCAAGCCATCAAGTTACTCTGCCATACATTTCTTGACTACCTTGTATTTGTGAATTTCAGTGTTAAATCTTCATGCTATTCTTTGAAAACGGATTAGTTTTTTTATTTTGTGGTTCTGAAAAGAGCAGTTTTTAAGGTTTTCTGGTCATTTGACTCCAGAGATCAGACTAAAACTGACAGTGCTTCATGTTGTGGCACATGAGTTGGTCGGCACATGAGTTGGTCGGCGCATGATTGGTCGGCACACGAGTTGGTCAACTTAAGATTTGGTTGGTGTACATGTGTGTACAAGTTGAACAATCCACATGTGAGTTGGTTGATGTACGAGTTCAGTGTTGTCACTTTCAGATGGCTGATTTTACTCCTGAAGGGAATAATAAGTAATGTTTGTGTGAAGAACTATCTCCATACATGGACCAAAGATTTGCTATACATGTAGTAAAATTCCCAGGTTACCCAAACACTCAATGCCTATGGAAAGTTGCCATTCTGGTTCAACAGCAAAATCATATATACAGGTACACAGTATGAATTTCACAATTTTAATTCAGCAATGAATTTGTTCCATAGTGCCATAACTGTTTGGAATCTAAGAGCCCTGTTAAAAGAAAATGTGTCCAAGTGACGCTTGTTGGCTACATGCCTGAATTTCCCTGGTATTGTCTTTTACAGCAAATTACGTGTATGCGCATGTTGAACTTACATGTACATGTACCTGTTCTTGTTTACAGTTTGGTTATAATGGAGGTGATTATGGATCTGAGTTTGAATTTGATGAAGATCAGGATAGGAGAAAGAGGTAAATCTATGCTGTGTCCCACTTATTCTCTGAATGTTAGCAATGTGTAGACAAAAGTGTCAGCTCAAACAGTGTCCCTGTGACAGACAGGATCAGGGTGCCAGCTTTCAGCTTTTGAATTATTGCCAATGTTTGCGCTATGCCCCATTTTGGAGCAATTAGCAGTTTGTGAAGATATCCAGCTGAAGTTTGTTAATATTTAGCAACTGACAGCATGAACACTGCATGATTCTGAGCATTTTGACGGTAATATTAGTTGTCTGTTTCTTTTGGCAGTTGTCTAGGTAATTTAGTTATGGAGCATTGTAGATGGATTTGAGGATTACTACAGTACCTGCTCTGCTGCATCCACCAAAATATCTGAACTTCAATCTTTGTGGAAGTACATGTATATGGCCAGGGGCAAAGTGAGAGACGAGCCTCGTGACTTGATGGGCAAATTTTCAGTATTTGATGGACATATTGTGGTATGATATGTAGAAGAGTGCATTCACATTGAGACTGGGCACTCATGTTTGGAGGCATTGTTTTGTCACACTGAACTCTTCATTTGCAGGTTGATTTTTGAGCCATTATGTTTTTAGTATGTGGTAGGTTTGGTACTCTGTCATCAATGACATCACTGAGATGATAGCTAAGACGTTTTGCACATGGTAGAACTTTTTACCGACCTATTCTTTTCATTCCTTTCCCTGCCACCCACACTTTCTTCATCATGTCTAGAGCTAGATACGATCTAGCTACCAAAAGCAGGCCATCTGCAGCAGCTGTGCCATCCAAACGTCTAGTCCAAACGGAATACAGCAGGTAAGTTTGTCACTGTAGAAGGCCATAGTCCCATCTTGCCCTCTAGAACAACTTGCCTTTTCAACCTTCTAAATCTGTCCTTGAGGTGAAAGGAAATAGGGAGCATCAAAAAACACTGGAAGAACAATATTGAATTCATGCCGCTTTATGTAGCACCAATTCATGAGTTTTATCTGTAGTCAATAAGAAACAAGACCTGTCCAGATTGCCACTACTTACTAGTACAGAATGATCGGAGTAGAAAACATTGCTTGAAATAATTAAATGAGGACCTGAGATCAGGGGTTAAATTTCTCATTAGAAGCACTTGTGGTTAACTGATTGAAATTTCCTTAGTTCATTTTGTCAAATCACATCTGCTTTTGGTCAGCCGAACACTACAGATGGTTGGAAAATGCTCAATGTCCTACCATAATTTCATGCGCTGTGATTTTTCCATGTAGTTTCAGAAAGATGAAAAAAGTGCATTAATTCCACCTTCCACTTGTTGATTGCTTGTGACTATATCTTTGCCTTTTCCACACAGGGAGGAGGGTAAGGCCCAACGCTTTCACTTCCTGGCACTGAATGCTGTATCCTTTCTCTTAAATGAGGATCTATCTCACCGTATTTGTGTGTGTTAGCATTCCACATTTGTCAAGTTA